CCCCAGGAACTACTATGAAAAGCATTTTGTATGTACACAGTCCATGGCAACTCGAATTCTTCTACAGTGTGCTGAAAGCTACACGCGCGAGAAATGGACTCTGCTCAGCACACTGCTTGATGCAGTTCCTGTTTAACAGGCATTTAGCAGCTGCACTGACTCAGAGCACAACCTCCAGGCCTCTCAGGGGAGCTTGTTCGCTGTGGCCACTTCACTGGGCAAGGCTGTGAGCACTACACGTACAGCGTCCTTGCCCAATTTTAGCCCTGCTTCCAAGAGGTTATTCTAGAGTCTAAATGGAGGAAGGAAGAGGAGTTTGCGGTTTTAGCGTCTCCCAAACAGCCTTAAGGGCTGAACCTCGGGCAGCAGGGGCCTGGTGGCCGCAGAGGAGCAAGAACAGAGACAGGCTGGCTGGCTGGGCCCCTGCTGTCCTCGCTCACTGCCTGGTCACTCCCACCCCACCCAGCAGCACCCTTCACCACCACCGGACTTGTCCACCCAGCAGCCCTTCCAGTCCAAGGTTGCTCTAGGTCATCTACAGGGCATGGTCATTGTGACAAACACTGCTAGGAGCGATCACTAGCAATCACCAGCAAGCAAAGCACTGTGCACAGTGTGAAAGAAAAAGACTGAAATAGAAATAGATGAACTAGAGAAGAGAAAAAGAGAAAGATCAGCAAAGCCAAAAGTTAGTTTTGGAAAAGATCAACAAAATTGACAAACCTTTAGCTAGATTAGCTAAGAAAAAAAGAGAGGAGACTCAAATTACTAAAATCAGAAAGGACAGAGGGACATAACTACCAACCTTACAGAAATAAGGAGAATTACAAGCGAAACTATGAACAACTGGATGCCAATAAATTAGACAACACAGATGAAATGAATAAATTCCTAGAAAGACATAAACTATTTATATTGAATCAAGAAAACAACCAGAAAATTCTGGACAGACCTACACCAAGAGACTGAATCAGTAATTAAAAACCATCCCACAAAGAAAAACCCAGGTCTTCAGTGATAAATTCTAACCAATGCTTAGAGTAATACCCACCCTTCAGAAACTCATCCAACAAATATAAGAGAAAAAACACTTCTTAGCTCACTTAAAGGCCAGCACTGCCCTGATCCCAAAACCAGACACACACAACAAGAAAAGAAAATGGACACAAAAATCTTCAACAAAATGCCAGCAAATGAAACCCAGCAACATACACGGTGTATGTTGCTCAACATTGTGATGATGACCAGTAGGATTATCCCAGAAATAAAAGGTGGTCCAACATACACAGCCAATCAAGTTCATGTGTCATATTAATAAAGGAAAAACTCACATGATCATCTCATTAGATGTAGAAAAAGCACTTGACAAAAATCCAACACTCTTTCATGATAAAAACATTCAACAAACTAGGGATGAAGGAGAACTTCCTCAATTTGTAAAATGGCACCTATAAAAGAAGTCACAGCTAACAGCGTACTTAATGGTGAAAGACAGGATGCTTTCTCCTAAGACCAGGAATAAGTCAGGAAATGTCCACTCTTGCCAGTGCCATTCAAAATTGTACAGGAGGTTCCAGCCAGGGAAATTGGCACGACAACGAAATAAAAGGCATCCAGATAGGAAGGAAAAAGTAAAATTATCTCTATTTGTATATGACATGACCCTGTATATAGAAAATCTTAAAAGATCTACAGGAAAAGTTATTAGAACTAATAAACAAGTTTACCAAGATTTCCAGATACAAGATCAATATACATAAACTTACACTAGCAATGAACAATCTGAAAATGGAATTAAGAAACAATTCCACGTACAATAGCATCCAAAAGAATAAAAAACTTGCAAAGACATCCGATGTTCATGGGTTGGAAGATGTAATACTGTTTTGATCTATAGATGCAACACAATTGCTATACAAATCTCAGCTGACATTTTTTTTAGAAATTGACAGACTGATTCTAAAATTCACAGATAAAAAAGGGGACAGAGTAATCAAAACAATCTTGGAAAAGAAAGATCACTTCCTGATTTCAAAATGTATGACAAAGCTATATAATCAGGACAGTGTGGTACTGGCATAAGGACAGACATACCTACCAATCACTGGAACAGAGCTGAGTCCAGAAATAAATCCTTACATTCACGATCAATTGATTTTGACAAGGATGTCAAGACAACTTAATGGGAAAAGAAGTCTTTTCCATAAATGGTGCTGGTGAAATTGGATATCCACAGGTATAAGAGTGAATTTGGACCCCTTCCTCACACCATATACAAAAATTAAGTCAAAATAAATCAAACATCTGAATGTGAGAGTTAAAACTACACAACTTCTAGAAGAAAACATAAGTATAAATCTCCTCGACCTAGGATTAGGCAATGGTTCTTAGCACACCAAAAGCACTACAACTAAATAAAAACACAGATAAATCAGACTTCATCAAAGTAAAGAACTTTTGTGCAAAGGACATCATAAAGAATGTGAAAAGACCATGAGAGATAATAGGAGGAAATATCTGTAAATCATCTATCTGATAAGGGTCTAGTATCCAGAATACATAAAGACTGGCAACTCAACAATAAAAGATGAATAACCCAATTTAAACACGAGCAAAGTGTCTGAGTACATAGTTCTCCGAAGAAGCTACACAAATGACCAATAAGCATATGAAAAGAAACTCAATATCATCAATTGTTAGGGAAATCAACTCAAAGGCACAATGACATGGGGTTATAAAGTAGAGCACAGTGACTACAGTTAACAATACTGTATTACACATTTAAAAGTTGCTAAGAGAGTGGATCTTAAAAGTTCTCATCACAAGAAAAAAAATTTAGAACTATATATCATGCTGGATGTTAACCAGACTTACTGTGGTGATCAGTTGGCAATAAATACAAATATCTAATTATTATTGTGTTGTACTCCTGAAACTAATGTGTTATATGTCAATTGTGTCTCAATTACAAAAGCAATTGATTTATAATAAAAAGTGCCAATTTGGATCAGTCAGCTTTCCTCTCTACAACACTGTTCTAATATAAATCAAAGCACCCAGCAACCTACACAATACACAAATTAACCTTTCTTGTTTCAATAAACTTTATCCTGCAAAAAAGAAAAATGAAACCACAATGAGATGCCACTTCACACCTGCTAGGAGACGGAATAAAAACTGGGTAAGGAAACGCTGGGTGAGGAAACTGGATCCCTCGCACGTTGCTGGGGAATGTAAACAGTGCGGCCATTGTGGAAACAGTTTGGCAGCCCCTTAGAAAGTTAAACATTCCTTTACCATACGGCCCTGCGATTCCACTTAAAGTTACATACCCAACAGAACTGAAGACATCCGCCCACACAAAGGTTCATACACGAGTGTTCACAGCAGCATTATTCACGGCAGCCAAAAGTGGAACATGCCCGATGTCCCCCAGCTGGCGATGCATCCACAAAATGAGATGCATCCACACACTGGGATACTGTTCAGTCATAAAGAGGGAGGAAGCACTGATACACGCTATCTCACTAACTGCAGCCTTAGGAAACAGGATGCTTAGTGAGAGACGGCAGCAAAGGCCACATGCTGCATGATTCCATTGATACACAACAGGCAAATAGGTAGGTATGGGAAGATTAGTGGCTGCCAGAGGCTGGGGGCAAGGGGGCTGTGGGGGGAAAAGGAGTGACTACTAATGGTACAGGGTTTCTCTCCAGGGTGATGGAAAGTTCTGGAATTGGATGGTAATGACTGTTGCACAACTCTGTCAATACACTAAAAACCACAGAGCTGCATACCGTAACAGGGTGAATTATAACTCTAAGGAAATGGTAAAAACCTTAGAAAAAAAACGGCAGGTGTTGACAAAGGAGTACCTAAGGAGTCAGGTGACAAGAGGGTCCCTTCTCCAGAGAAGCTGAGAGCAGTGATGAAACCAAGCACAGTCAGCTAGACTGTCATTCTCACTGGGCACCCGCAGTGTTCACAATGCCAGTGACAAAGCAGTCCTGTGCCAGGCATGTGCACGTTGTGCAGAGGGAACGTCGGCACATGGCACAGTTCACACTATAACCTCGTATTTGCTGTGCTTTCTAGTCCAAGCAGTGTCGTCACACACAGCACTGCACTCACTCCCCCGAGCCCTGGGAGGGAGCTAGAGCCACTCGGAGCCTCCCTGTGGCCGGGACAGCTCACCAGTGGCTGAAAGAACTCCAGACCAATGCCTGTTCATTGCCGGGCCTCCCAGCATAGGCCCAAGTTCAAGGGGCAGGACTGCTGGTCCTCATGCCCCTCTCAGCCTGTCGCCCATCCCTGAGGGTTATGATGCCCAAAATGTAGGTGGTTATGAACACAGGCCTTTACCCAAACCCTTGGTTTCCTTCCTGTCTCATTCAAGCCCGCTGCTTCCCCTGCATATCGCAACTTCAAGTTTCTTCCAACAAAGTCACACAACGGGGACGAGAAGCCCCCTTACTACAAATTTCAACAGAAATGTGCTTAGCATAGCAACCAGGCCCCTTAGCTGTTTAAGGGTAACTCGATCGTGCACTGCAGTCGGACTCCTACTTCTGCTTCAGCGATGGAACAGGCAAGGGCAAAGGAAAACCTTCAGGACACACTGTGAACAGAGACATGGGAGACTGTGGGAAAAGGAATTTCTTGGCTAAATCAGGAAACACTCAAATGTGGATACTGATAGATTATCTCCATGACAAGATTTTAAGGGACCTTTACTTTCTTCTCTACACTTCTGGATATTGATTTAAAAAAACTGCTCACTTTGTAAAGTTATAAACAATGTATTTTTATTTGGGGGAAGAAAAAGTTCAGCGTTGGCTCTGAACTCCATTCAGAGCCAACACATGGGGCCCTTGTTTCTGGACATGTGTCTGCCCCCTCGCTGGGAGGCCACCTATGCATCGAGGTGCTTTCCCGGACAGCAGCACCCTAACAGCTTGTCTCAGAGAGGAGCAAGCTGGCATCAGCTAACTCGAGCTTACCTGGACAGGTGGCTCAATCGCTATCCAGGCCGGAAGCATCAGGTTGGGGTTCAGGGGCTGGGTCCCCACGCGGAAGTACACGCCTCCCCTGGAGTCACAGGCCCACACGTGCTGATTTCCACATGCCAAGCTCGTCAGTCTTACAGCTCCTGTAGACAAGGAAAGGAAACGCATAAATAGCAGTTACCTTTGTAAAATGACTAACCTCTCACTGAATCTGTTAACTTTATATTGCAAAGGGAGAGAGGAGGGGTGTGACCAAGGCCTCTGGCTGCCCTGCCACCTGCCAGGAGCCACCCAGCAGGCTTCTGTGCCAGTGCGAGGCAGTTCAGATGCCGTCAGCATAGTGCCCTGGTCACCAGGCATGAGGTCTGGTATCTCCACATGGGTCCACTGTTAGCTCCATCAGGTGTGTGACTGTTACCAGCAAATTCTGGATTAGGGGAGAGGGACTCATCCTTAGAGGTAATCCTGATCCTAAGTGGAATTAAGGTGAACTAATAAAGCCTCCCCTGATTCCCACTTTTCTGTTTCATTTCTCCTTGGTGATTAGCTGATTTAGAGAGGAAGGGAAGCGGGAGGAGCCTTCAGAGAGAAACCACATGTGATTGACAGTCTTTCTGCAGAAGAGCCACAGCAGCCCCCACTGACCAGCTGCTGGGGATGGCTCGCAGCCAGGTCTTCACAGCCTCACTTCGCACCTGGCCACAGCACCCCAGTATCCAGTCCATGGGAGGCCATTGGGACCAGACAGGGAGATGTGAGCCCCTGGTCCCACGGCGGGGATGTG